GTGAAGGAGGAATTCAGCCTCCATAGTCAATATTTCATAATGTGCTAAAAATACTTAGGCTGATATTTTTCCAGGTTGTATAGAATTTTTCATTTTTGAGCTGTCAATTTTAATTGCTCTGTTTATTTCTGTGCTTATGTTTAGCTTGCAGAAGAAGTAATGACAGACTATCTTATCCTGCACAAATAAAATGCAAGTATCTTTAATGTCATAGCTTCATAGAAGCAGATTTATACTAGCTGCACATTACCTTTCTTTAAATAACACACAGAACAATTATACATATAAAGATAATCCCAAACACAAGAGAACTGAACAGGATTTAACTGCTTGTTTCTACAGAATTGCAGCCCAGATGATKCTACAATCTTTACTGAGCCAAATTATGCTTAAAATGTTGTCCTTGCATTGGATACACCACATTCACCATGAGATAAATTAATCTACACAAATCAGGAGCATTACAGCAGAGAATGTCAAAGATGTGCATATATCATAGAAAAGGACACTGTGTACTCCAGATGCTGAGACAAAAAAGGTATTTAATGAAGAAACCTTGTTTCTGCATTTGGGTAACAAATCAACACAATGATGTTTTAGAGCATCAGRTATGAGTGCCGTTATATGACAAACAGTGACTTTCCATATTATAGTTGCTGCACTAATACCTAAGAACATTCTACTGCATTGTTAAGGTGGTGTAAAATTTCATCCTGAACATAATTGGATCAAAGTCTTGTCAACATGCCCATTCACTCATTTTTAAGTACAATTTTCCTGTCATAAAACATCAACTGTGATAAGTGACAAAGAGGAAATAGAGAACTTCTCTCTCCAACACTGTAAATATGGCTTCCTGAGGCCTTCACTAAGATTTATTTCTAAAAAAACTAAGCAACAACAAGAGAGACTACAAAAAAATTAAATCTCTACTTATAAAATGAGATACTATTTTAGTGCTATTAGTGCAGTCATAATCACCATATGACTCAAGAGTATTGGAATAAACATACTGAAAAGAAACATGGCACAAAAATATGTTCTGAATGCAAAAGATGCTCAGAGAACACCAACTAACCACAACAATCAGCATGTGCACTCTGGCTTTCTCTAACAGCACGTCAGCTCATCTGAGTGACAGGGGTTTGCACTGACTAGAAGACACAATATTAAATTGTTTTAATTCAARGACCCAAGAAAACACAGACACATTCTTGTATATGTTGAGACAACATACCTTGTTTTAAGCAAAACCCACATTAGAGAATAATTATCTAAAAACGATTTTGTTAGCCTAGATGGCATTATAGAGGACTTTCACATCCCTGCTCCCAGACTTGGTGTCTGGCTCCTCACATTGCTTCAGCCTCTGCCAAACCTTCTAAAAGCTGTGAAAGAAAGGGGCAGGGATAAAACAAGACACCACAGAATCTCATCACTATTGGAACACCTTGCAGAACATCCTGTTCCTGCTGGAATCCAATTGTGGCCACAGATTTCAAACTTTCAGAAAGAATATTCATAGTATCACACATCAGCCTGTAGCCTTAATGATGCCTTGAACAAAATGCCTGAAATTTGAGAGCTGTTACAATAGCATTGGTAGCACGAGTCTGTCAGACCATCCTGCTAGGAGGGCACATGTGGGGATGCTGAGATGTAAAACCTATTGGGATACTGCTACAAACAGGCAGCATCTCATCCACACTKTCCAGAAATGATCCCAAAACTATGCCAAACACATTTCCATTTTATCTCAGAAAAATTAGTCTATTCACTCCAAAAAAACCACCCAGAGGGAAAATAACAGAGATACAGTACAGATAATCAGCAATACTGGTTTGCTAAGTTAATTGACAGAACAGACTCATTTTGGATGGCAATTGCTCAGAGGGGCCTCTACTTCAAGGGATTGTCTCTCCCCTTGAATGAAAACCAGATGGATAATTTATTATTCATATTCCAAACACGACTTGCAATACAAATTTTTAATAAACAGGCATGCAATTCTCTATTGTGCATTCACAATAGATCTTATATCTATTGAAGAGACTGAGATATATTCAGTATTTCAGGTTCTTTATGATCCTTCCTTATGCATGTTAACATTCAATATGCCCTAAATAGTTTCCCATTCAAATCACATTCCTGATTTCCAAACGATAGGCTAACATGTTTCTTTAATAGGTTAAAATATTTTATTTCTTTTTCTTTTGGGAAAGCTGTAAAACATGTTTCCTGAGGAAAAACAGAAATTCTTTTTTTTTTTTTCAGTTGCTCCAAGAAGGTAAAAATTTTTATTTATCCTCAGCATAATTTTTTGTTACTAAAAGGAGGGAATGCTCCCTGAAGCCCACTACTTTATGCTTTTTAGTTTAATGATACAAACATCTTCTGAAGTAGAGAAGCATAAACTCATTAGCAGCATTTCAGTTCTCTCTACTGCAGAAGCCTGGAGGAAAGAAACCTTAACACAGAATATCTGATTCTAGCACCGGAATTTACATCTTAAACCAAATTACAACATTCAATTTTATGCAATCTTTATATCTCAAGTTAGGATTTCTTTCTTTTCATTCTGAAAGGGCCTTGATCTTAATTTGCTTTATGCTTTTCCACTTGTGTCTTGACTTATTTCTGCCATAAAACATGAGAGACTGAAAAGAGATATTTCCAGGTAGGTTTGGAGAACATAAACAAGCTTTTATGAAGGTCATAAATATATTTAATAGAAAAGTTGTGTATGAGCAATATAATAAAAGAACATCTTAATGTAGACAAGACTACTATAATCATACAAAATTATTTGAAAGTAACGAATTAAAATAATAAACCTTATTAAATTCCCCTAATAGTCAAAAGCAATACAGCAAATAGCAATAATATAGCAATAAGGAAAAAAAAACTAGCCCATGGGTACATTACAAAATAATTTGACTGAAGAATTGTAGGGTTTATATTTATTTTTAGGTTTCAGATACTCAGGTTCTCCAAGAGCAGCAAATAGACACCTACAATGCAGTAACAGCAAGATCAAATATCTCCCTGTTCAATGATGTRCTACATTAACACTTGGATATTTGTGAAAAACACATGATTTATACAGCACACATATTGTAGAAGAAACAAAATGAGAAGAAATGAAGTGCACAGTGTAATYAAAATAGATGAACACATGGAGAGCTACTGAAGTTCTGCTAAGAAACCTCCTCTAAGTTGCTACAACACAAAAGTCATAAAAATTCATGTGAATAAACTTATCTATTGAGAAAAACCCACATAAAGCCAAAAATACACATCATCCATCTATCAAATGTGGAACTGTCTGAAGGAAGATGACAGTAGAGTTTATCTAAAAAAGAAATTCTGCTGTGTATCTAATGTCTAGTCATTTCCCCTCAAATCTATAAGTAAATCCCTCCTGGACTCCATTAAATGCCTTAAAGGACAGAGGACAGATAGATCCATTACTTTACAAAACAAAAGAAACATAAAGAAACCTTTGTCTGGAATCCCATCTCTTAGAAGCACTGCAGAATAAGGAATGTTTTTACATTTGAAATCTCACAGTATCTGATTCACACTTATCTTTTGCTTTAAGCACTTGTTAAAGCATTTTAAAACCGTTAAAAATAAATTACCTCAGCAAAAATTCAGCTAAAATTTGACATAATATCATAGTAACCGCAAAAATATCTCCAATATTTATGATTTCTGGTAAGAATCTTCTCAATCCTTTAACACTTAGCAAAGTGATTGGGCACTGCACTATATCTTCTATATCAATAAATGATTCAGAAACAGATGGTATGAGTTCCATAAGCATTTCAAACAAAAAAAGCCATGCCAATGTTTTTCCTTAGAAGGAAAAGCCAGCCTTAGGCAACCCAGGATGCTAACTTTAGCAGCCTTATTTTGAAGAAAAACAACTTTTAGGAAAAACAGTTTTCATGTCCTTTTTACTATGATGGGCCAAAGGTCACTTTGTGTTGTATGTGGTTGTTCAAGACAGCTATCTGTTCAGCTCTGACTTGGAAATGCATGTGCATCACATCAGAGGATTCAGCAAACTGTGACCTTCATGATCATCTTTTTTGTTCTCCCATCACTTCCTCCCATCTGGATGCATGAGAAGCGAGAGCAGCACTAACACTTCCCCATTCTGCTGTTAATTCAGAATCCTAAACACTGATTTTTACTCAGCAAAAAGCACAAGCACTTCCTATAAATTGATGACAAATCATACGGAAATATGTACAAGGGTAAGAAGATATAAATGRAACCTCAATTGTGAAGACAGGTGAAAAAAAGAGCTAAGACTGAGAGGGAACACAAAGGCCTCACCAGTCTCTACAGCCAAAAGTAAGTGTGCTCCCTAAACTCCAAGAAAAATGGGATCACTGAATACATTCAAAAATGTCCTTAAAAGACCACTTGGGGAAACCCAAGCCTGTAGCAGTTCAGAAAGTCAAAGACATATTTCAGGCACAAGTATGTACATTATAGCCTAAGATAGGAAGCACAAAGAGCCCAAGCAGCACAGCCATTTAGCAAGGCTTCCAGAGCACCAGCATGGCCTGCTCAGCCCTTTCCTGCTATGAGGCCTGAGGCCAAATTCCAGAAGAAAAGTTTCCTTTTTTTCCAAAACACCCACCTTCCAGGGCTCACTGATCTGTTACAAGGAGTGGTTCATGAACCAGGAATTCATGCCAAGGAAGTATTCAGGGTACATGCATGGCTCACAATTGCATTTCTCCACTTCAGGTAATAATATTAATTCTGATCCACAGATAACACAAAATACTCCTAAAAACAGATGTCCTACAGTAAAATACCCATAATAAGCTTTCTATGTTTACCCCCATTTAGATACATTACAACAACTGGTAGACTTGCATGAAAACAAATATTTCCTGTGTTTAAAATATGACATATTTTGTAAAAATAATATTAATTTTTCATTTCAATTAAAATCCAAACTTTTCAATAAGCTCACTTACAGGATGTTTGGCTGAAAGCCTGCCAGTCACAGTTCCTGTTTGATTCCAAGTAGAGGAAATAAATCCCTGTAATCAAGTAAAGTAAAAAGGATGAAAACACACAGCTAAATTCTATTTAATGTAACTATCAGTAATAAAAACTCACTGCAATCAGAACAATAAAATMAAAAACTGTTTAATTTTCCATGTATAAAAGTTTTTAAACTGTAAACACTGAAAGCATTTCACATCTTTTTAGGACTTTACAAACTGCTTTATATATTTCTACCTTCATCATGCATGTTCGTAGTCCATCCACATAAGTTGATTTCATCTTATGAACCTAAAATACAWAAAATTTAAAATAAATACTTATGTATAAAAATAAAGCATTTTACAAATTAAAGATCTTAATTTCCAAATGCATCTTGTTTGCAGACTTTTCTTTTTTAAAGACAGTTTTATCGTAATAAATAATAGATTTATAGACAGTAATGGCTTACCATATTCACATGAATTAGGTAAGTGCTCAGTTACAACCTAAAGCCAGGTCTTTGCAGATACTATTAAATGAACAATTGGAATTTGTTATTTTATGTTCTATATCCACAGGTCAATAAGCTGCACAAAACCCCTACACACA